CTACATTTTACGGTGACATAGTATTTATTTTACATATAAAAATTTAAGCTAATACAATAATTAGTTCAATTAGAATCATTGAATATTGAATAATTTAAACATTAATCAAAGACGAAGCGGTTGACAACTTTCAAACAGTTGACGAGGCCTAGTTGCCTTCAATAATTGCAATACGAACTGTATGCACTGAGGTCGGCAAACAGTGTTCACAGTGTGCAGGGACTTTGGACGTCGTGGCACTTGGACGTCGTGCAACAGTCAAATATTGATTGGACGTCGTGGCACTTGGACGTCGTGCAACTGGCAGAGGCTTTGGACGTGGTGCAAATGATACTTCTTTACAATCCTACAGTGCACTGTTTCACGACGTCCAAGTGCCACGACGTCCAAAGCTTGTAGAAAGACTATATTTTTGGCAGTTACTGTACTTTTGGACGTCGTGGCACTTGGACGTCGTGCAACAACTCAAAAATGATGTTTTGGACGTCGTGGCACTGGAAAAATATTATTGGACGTCGTGGCACTTGGACGTCGTGCAACACTCCCTTATAAATTAAGAAAAAATCATTATTTCTATTTCTTCTAATTCAGTTTTATTTTTAATAGGCCTATATCAAATTGTCCAGGATTTTTCGTTTTTTTCCATTGTAATAATTACACCAACCCAAGTATCGTCTACAGATGCACTGCGCCAAAGAATATCATCTACGTGCAACACGCCTACGTAAAATCTCCAAGAAGTGGTAAAAAACGGCAGAAACCAGCCCATACAATAGACATAAGTTAACTCCATAAGAAATATTTTTAAGAGTTACCGGGATATTAGGATTTTCCACTGATTTGGATTACACATTATAACATTACAACATTACATTATATTGCTAAACATGACACGATGCAGAAGAAAATCGATTTTAAAATCAGAAAAAACCTTTGCAAATACTTCATTTTAACAAATTCATTAAATCACAATTTAAATATTAACAGCTGTTCAATTAAAAAGTAGTGTAAAATTATACATGGTCATAATGTAAACAAATCTGCTGAGGGGACTTTAAAGGCCACTGGGGCAGAGCCCCAAGGGAATTTACCTCGGTTCTCTATTGATGGCTTATCTACAGACCAATACCTTTCTTTGAAGACCCCTACCAAGTTTCTACGCCCAGCCGTTCTCTGATATTAGCTGTGACAAAAACCAGTTTTTCCCCCCATAAGAATAACATGGGATGGGAATTTAAAGGCCACTGGGGCAGAGCCCCAAGGGAATTTACCACGTTTCTCTTTTGATGGCTCATCTACAGACCAAGACCTTTCTTTAGACACCTCTACCGAGTTTATACGCCCAGCCGTTCTCTCAAATTAGCTGTCACAAAAAAAAACAGTTTCAAATTAATATATAGATTCCCCATGTTAATCTTATGGGAGAAAACTCAACTTTGATGGAAGATCCTGCCCAAACTAATAAAGATTTCAATAAATGAAAAACACTTTGGAAAATTACAGATCAGGGTCATTTTTTGACACTTTAATCATCAAAATCGGTCCAAAAATGAGGGAGGAGTTCTGTTCAGAAAAATCGGCTAAGCGTATTATATATATATATAGATAGATATGTATATGTATAGATAGATTTTGTAGTTTGCTTGTTTATGGATATATTTTTATCAAACTTGGCAAAAGGTTTGCTGTGGCAGGGGTATTTTTTTGTATTATTAGGCCCATTACTGTTCTGTGCTCTCCAATATTATTAGATTTAACTCAATAACTCAATAACTCAATAACTCATTTATTTAGCAAGATTAACATTACAAATGCATTAGCCAAGTCAAATTTACTAAAAATAACTATTAACTAACTTTTAAAATAATTAAAATTAAAATTCATTAGGACTGTCCGTCAGCGAGAAAGGCGCGGACACTGTAGTAGCCTTTACCCACGAGAAATGACCTCAAGTGCCTTTTGAAGCATCCCGGATCTGATGTGGACTTGATTTGAAGTGGGAGAGCATTGAACAGTTTGATGGCATTATAGTTTAGATGTCTTTCAAAGAATGTGGTTGAATGGGCTGGAATTCTCAGATTGAAAGTATTGCGAAGCAGATACGAGTGGGTGGATGTGGTGTGGAAATGAGAATAATTTGACTTCAGAAAAGTGAGGACTTCTAGAATGTAAATACAGGGAAAAGGTAGAATTGCGGATGATTTAAATACAGCTCTACAAGTTTGTTTGTAGGGAAGGCCGTGAATTATTCTGATAGCTCTCCTTTGAAGGCGAAAAAGGAAATGGGTTCTTGTGCTTTCACCTCCCCATAGTGCAACTGCATATATCATGTGTGGATAAAGTACACCGTAGTAAGCAGTAAGAAGTACATCTTTGTTTGAAAATTTTGCTAGTTGGCGCAGAAGAAAAATTCCTGAACTGATCTTTCTACAGACAGAATCAATGTGGGGTTTGAAACACAAGTTCTCGTCCAACAACAAACCCAGGAATTTTACTTGAGCAGTAGTTTCAGTTTCAGTGTCGTCCAAAATAAAATTTTGTTTGTTTTTGGTTTTCCTAATTGAGAATTCAACGAGCTGAGTTTCTGTTGAATTGATTTTGAGGAGATTTTCGTCGAACCACTGCAACAAGCAACTGGCTTGTATAAAGGCACACATGTCTAGTTCGAGTCGGTTTGGGCTGGAGACAGCGAGAGAGGTGTCGTCAGCAAAAAGACATATTTCACCCTTTTGAACAACTGATGGGAGGTCGTTAATAAAGAGGAGGAACAGTACCGGACCAAGAACCGACCCCTGAGGCACTCCACTGACGATCGTGCCAGTAGAGGATCTGTGAGGGCGTAGACACCCAGTGCTATCCACTGCTTTCACCTCCACATATTGACTTCGGTTGGCAAGGCAAGACGAGATCCATTGTAGTGACAGCCCTCTAATTCCATAAGAGTGTAACTTCTGCTTGAGAAGGTCATGATCCACTGTGTCGAATGCTTTGGTCAGGTCGAAGAAAAATCCCAAAGCATTCTCACCTCTATCCAGTGCACTGACCACAGTCGATACAAGGTGATAAATTGCGTCTGTTGTCGACCTGTTTTTTACGAACCCAAACTGTTTACTGGTGAGTATGTTATTTTTATGTAGAAATTCCAGCAATCTTTTTAGGAATAATCTTTCAAAAAGTTTGGAAAACGTTGACACAATTGATATTGGCCTGTAGTTATCGCACAGACGATCATCCCCCTTTTTATATATAGGCTTAACAACAGAGAGCTTTATAGAGTATCAGGAAACTGACCAGAAATAAAAGACGAATTAATTAAATGAGTTAGAGGTGTCAAGATTACATCACCTATTTCTTTTAATAGCCTTGGGGATATTTCATCTGTGCCGGCTGAACTCTTATTTTTCATCAACCTTATCTCAGTTGCAACTTCTTTTTCAGTTGTTGGGCAAAGGAAGAGGGAATTTGACACATGCCTTGTACAGCTGTTAGTACCCTTTTTATTTGACTGGCTACCAATCTCAACAAAGAAATTATTAAATCGATCAGCTACTAATTGTGGATCTGTGATTAAATAACCTTTCTCATCGAGGAGGTGGGGTTCCTTAAATTGTTTGTTTGTTCCATTTTTATTTTCATTAATTGTATCCCATATAGCCTTGCTTTTATTTTCTGCCTGGTTTATTTTACATAAATACAGTTCAGATTTCTTTTGCCTCACAAGTTTTCTAAAATTGGATTTTATTCTTAAATAATATTGTCTCATGTAATGTTCGGAGGGAAGATCTTTTGTTCTGTTGTATAGGTCAATCATTTCTGTCCTTTTTTGGCACATTTCTTTGTCTAAAACTACACGACCTGTGTTTTTCCTTTCTTTTACTTTCTTTCTTTTCAATGGAAATGCTATTTCAAATATGTGGCGTAACTGGCTTTCAAAATTGGAAAATTTGTCATTCATTGTTGTTGCGTTGTACACTGATATCCAGTTCTGTTGCTTAAGTAATAGCTTAAAGTATTGCTTTGTATTATTATTAAATTCTCTGGAAAATTTATATTTTATTAGATTATCTCTGTCATTCAGTGAACAGTTTATGGAAGCTAACTGGGCGTGGTGGTCTGAGAGGGCTGTCACAAGAACTTCACTTTTAATTCTTTTATTATCTATGTCAGTAAATATATGATCTATCAAGGATCTAGAACATTTGAACTCCCTTGTATATGAACTTATCGTGTTTCTGAGTCCAAAAGATCTCATAATGGTTGTCAGCTTATCTGCTACGAAGGAAGTTTTAGACAGATCAATATTTAAATCACCAACAACAAAGATTTCTTGGTTGAAATTTACAAGCTTATCAAGGCATCCAGTCATGTTCTCAAAAAATAAATCGTGTTTATTAGTCGGGGGTCTATATACAGCAATGACGAGTATGATTTCATTTTCTAAATACAGTTTTGAAGCAGCTAATTCGCACTCACCTTCCACACAAAACTCAGACACATCTACTTTTGTGCTCCTTAAAAAATTACTTACAAAAATACCGACACCACCTCTCTGCATTGATGATTGGCAGAAAGCAGCCACATTTGTATAACCATTGAGCATAATCGTCTCAAACTCCGTGTCTCTCAGATTGTGTTCAGACAGACATATCACGTCAGGCAATTCATCTTGCAGGAACACATCAAACAGTTCTATTTTGTCTGAGAGACCTCTTATATTTTGGTGAAGCAGTTTCAGACAGTCCGGATGCACCTCGCCCACACCTGCGCCGGGCTCATCCAAGGTACGTGGTACTGCCTCCGGGCTAGCCCCAAAAAATCTGAATTGACAATGAATTTGGACAATGTTTATTTGTGTTTAACAATGTTAAAATGATTCTACACTGCTTAACCATACATTTAAAGTCAATTTATTTATTTCCTGGGCATTTTAGGTTAGGCTTGCATTACCCTTGATCACTCAGCCACTCAGGGAGTATACTGTATACATTAGAAGTACCTACCTGAATACTGAAGGCCGAGCTGCTAGGAGGTCCTCCCATGCCCATTCCGGCCAAGCTGTTGCTGAGGTTGGTTAGAGGGTCTGTAGTCAGTGGAGGTGTAGGGAAGGGTGTAAAGGCAGGTTCCATGCCTCGGTGTCCTCCCCTTAACACTCCTGGTGGATGACGAGGTTTGTTCATCAACATGCTGCAGTTGGTCGCCATAGCAATCACAGTCTCAGACAACTCCTGTGATATACCGCCACCTCTGCCAAGCAAAATATACAATTTCATATATGTATTCGTTATACAGGGTGCCACAATAATGTGGCGTGCTATGCAGCACCAGATTTAACACACTAAAATAAACTGTAAATTGTGTGTAAATATTTATTAGGTTTAGTTAAGCTGTAATCTGGCATTTTGTATTTTTTTATAACATTGGTATTTTATTTCTGAGTAATTGAGTATAAACTGTTTTTCTGTAGACGGCATTTCAGAAGGTGATGAACATTTACGCTGGAGTTTTTTAACACAGTCAAGAACGCTTAAAACACAACACTAATGAGCCGGCTGCAACAGGGTGACCTGCAGCACAGTCGTTCACCCTGTTATGTAAAAATAAAATTAACATTGGTCTACAAGCTAGAAGGATTTTTGTAAATTGATAACGATAAATTATAGACAAATTCTTTATTGAAATATTCTTTGAGAACATTCATGCAACGGTTACAAAGTTACAATGAAGACAATTAATAAATAGATAAAAAGACCACTATTTAAAGGTATGAATTATTAGGCAACATTTTTTGTATGTTTTATTAGGTAATTTATTAAGTTAATTTTTTTATTGTAGCTCGTTCAGGAACTCAACCTCTTAGAAGAATGGTCGGTACAGGAGCCATGTTGACAGCTTCTTCTTGAACATGGTTTGTTCTCTTGTAAGGTGCTCTGGTAGGTTGTTAAAGTAGAGAGCCTTAGCATGATGGTTTCGGCTCTAACAGACTCAAATAGCGTTGGGGATGTAAAAAATTGACAGCATGCACGTGTTGTGCTGGCGTATGTCTCTGTGTTTTGGCTGCACTGTTGTAGTGGTGTGGATGATGACTTCTCTTATATGGAGTGAAACTGTTGTGAGGCTTTTTAGGTTATTGAAAGATTCTCAACAGCTGTCTCTGTAGTTTAGGTCAGCCAGGTGCACTTTTTTTGCTGTATGAGTACACTTTCTAGGTTGCCTGTAGCTGTTCCTCCTGATGTCACAATCTGGGGTGGGACTCAAATCAAGCAAAAAAGGCAACCCTGGCCACTTCTGGGTCGCATACTTGCTTGATCCTACTTTTAACTATATGCAGAGCAGGTCTATAAGGAGTTTCCAGGATAGGTTAGATTTAATTATGATGCCTTGCCTAGGTTTTTTGTCACATTTTGTGTTTGTAATCCTGAATTGTAACGTCTGGGTTGTTTTGTTTGGAGGTGAAGGTCATTTGAATGGTTTTCCTTTTGTTTAAGACTTAGGTTATTAGAGGAGTAGTACTGCTTGGCCAGACTCTGGAGTTGCATGTTGATTTCTCTTCCAGACTTTCTGTCGTAAACTCATGCAACAAAAAAAAGGTAACTTAAAAACAAAGGCAAATCATGTAAAATATTAAGAGGCCAAAAGTACAATCAGGGGTATTGTATAGTTTGATTTTGTCGGATTATAAACATGAGAAATCCTGTTAATCTAAGTATGAGACTTACGCGACACAGGTCTGAAGACAGTGAAGGATTGTAGCTAGAGTGTCAGGTAGCAACTGAGCTGACTTGGGGAGGTTCTCTTCCTTCATTATACCTCCCATGATAGAAGGACATCTCCGCTGCAACAAAACATGAAAACAACCTTACTGAGTGATTTGTTTACTTAATTGAATGAATACTTAGTATAGAATCTCAAATCTCATTAAGTAAATCTCAAAATCAAAACTTTTCCAAACTTTTGGTGATTTTGAGATTTGGTTGTGACACATCGTGTTTTATGAGTGTTTATTTTTTTTGTATAACCACTCCATCCACAATATTTAGGCAGTTTGAGGGGAAGTTCCTCCACTACTTTCTTCTGCTTAATGTATGTAGCAGCTGATTGAGGTGTTGACAAATCTCAGCTGTTGGGCTGTGTTTTGATGATTTAACTATACAAATATAGTGTAATAGGTATATGTTTATATTAATTGTATAAGAAGCAGCATTTGATTTTATAATGTTGGTTGCACTCCAGATGTTAAAGACTTTTGTTTTGTTCTGATTATTAATTTTGTAAATAACAATAATAGTTGAGTTGTGATTGGAATGGAGAATAAAATTGAATACACTAGATTTTATCTTGTTCTTTTAAAATATTACATATAGATAAACTTCCATGGAGTAAACACCGCATTCTCATATTCCAGTTGTAGACAGTTTTACAGTAAAAATGCAATTAGTTCAATTGAGCCACTAACAGTGTGCTGTGCCAAACTTGAGTGAGAAATTGTAAACACATATCTTGTTTTATGTCCTTATCAGAGACTCCAACAGTAGCACCTCAATCATAGATTAATTAAACTACAATTATTCAAACTCGCAACTATCCAAATCGCTTACAGAAATAATTTAAAACAATTAAGAGCCACGGTAATAGGTCTTGAAAACATCGTGATTGTTTTTCAAGATTGCGGCAAAATCATGCACATCTTCCGCGGTCTTATAGACATTTTCCCGCAGTCATGGAAACATCATCACCGTTTTTAAATTGCTGTAATTGCGGCAAAATGTTAAATATATCCTATGGTCATGTAGATAGATATCATTATCGTCTTACACAGTCACAGAAACATCATCGTCTTCCATAATCGCAGCAAAACGTTTAATATATTACACGGTCTTGTAGACATCCTCAATGTCTCTCGCGGTCTTGGAAACGTATGTTATAGTTTTCCATGATGATCACGACCAAATCTCTCCGGTGGTCGTGTAAACATGATTGTCGTCTCCTGCGGTCATGGTAACAAACGACTTCCATGGGTGATGCTTCTAGGTGTCGAGATTGATTCGGCAAAAAACTCAAACAAACAAATAATACTCATCATTTTCAGCGATCAGGACGAAATATTAATCATCTTCCGCAGTCCTTTAGACATCATTATCGTCTTCTGAGGTCACGGAAACAACAAGTATCATTTTTTGTGATTTCGGCAAAATCTTAAAAAACTCCCTTGGTCTTATAGACATCATATTATTCGTCTCCCACGCTCACGGAAAATCATGATCATCCTCTCGTATCGAAGCGAAAGCATGACATTTTTGACAAAATATCAATACATGTTCTGCGATAACAATAGTAAAAGCTCGGGATGGCTATGCCTATTTTCTATCAAATACCATGGATTTCGGTAAAAGTCAAACTATCCAAATTGTTCAATATCAGAATAGGTTGCATTCCTAATTAATTAAAATTAGGGATGGACGGGATTGAATTTTTAGTTCGGGACGGGACGGGACGGGATTTTTATTTCCTTCCCGATTTTCGGGACGGGACGGGACGGGATTTTTTTCTGTGCATAAAAAGAAAGTACTGTATTGCAGTTACCAAAAAAGACATAAGAAATCAATTTTTACCATTTGTGGCACTGATCTATAAAAACCAAAAAATGGGTAACAATTTACAGGTACCTATAGAAACTTGTGACTCGCGGGTCACGGGGTGATCGTCTGTATGACTCGCGGTCACGGCGCGATCGTCGTCATGACTCGCGGTCACGGCGCTATCGTCGTCATGACTCGCGGTCACGGCGCGATCGTCGTCATGACTCGCGGTCACGGGGTTATCGTCGGTATGATTCCACGGTCACGGCGCGATCGTCGGTATGACTCGCGGTCACGGCGCGATCGTCGGTATGACTTGCGGTCACGGCGCGATCGTCGGTATGACTCCGCGGTCACGGGGGTTATCGTCGGTATGACTCGCGGTCACGGCATGATCGTCGGTATGACTCGCGATCACGGCTCGATCGTCAGCATGACTCCGCCATCACGGCATGATCGTCAGTATGACTCCGCGGTCACGGCGCGATCGTCGGTAGGACTCCGCGGTCACGGCGCGATCGTCGGTATGACTTGCGGTCACGGCGCGATCGTCGGTATGACTCCGCGGTCACGGGGTTATCGTCGGTATGACTCGCGGTCACGACGCGATCGTCGGTATGACTCGCGGTCACGGCGCGATCGTCAGTAGGACTCCGCGGTCACGGCGCGATCGTCGGTATGACTCAACGGTCACGGCGCGATCGTCGGTATGACTCGCGGTCACGGCGCGGTCGTCGGTAGGACTCCGCGGTCACGGCATAATCGTCGAAATGACTTCGTCTCCTGCGTTCGCGGACCTATCGCTCGCAATAACGGCGTTATCGGCACTCGCGAAGCGGAAAAATCGCCGACGATCGGACCAAATCCCGTCCCGAAAAATTCCCGAGTCAAATGTAATCCCGTCCCGATAATCGGGAATATTTTTTTCCCGAAAAATTCCCGAAATTTCGGGACCCGTCCATCCCTAATTAAAATAATTGGGGCTCTACTATTTGAGTTCTCTAAAAAATTGCTACAGCTGGTCCGTTAAGTGCCTTAAGTCAATACAATTCAAATTCCAACAAAGAACATTAGGTAAAAGTGGCCTACTACTAGGTGTATAATAGTTATTACACAATTTATAAAATGACCAGGCTTTCTCGACATTGAAGATTGTTTTCCAAATTTGTTGTTGGTGTTAATAATTAAATGTTTATGAATCGTTCGACTTTAACATTATCAATGTTTTTTTACACAAAAACCAAATTTAAAATTTTTATCAATCAATCAATCAGAACTTTTTATATTCTGGCTGAGCAAATTCATATTTTATTTAGGCTAACAAGAAAATAATTTTTCAAATCAATAGGCATTTGAAATTACAAAAATAGTCTTAATCTAAAGCATTATATTCTTGGCTTCAACCATTCAATTATACATACCTGTAGAAACTTGACCACTGCACTGACAAAAACTTCACCGACGTCTCTAATTTTGTCATTTAACCACTTTTCTAGCTTCAGATACTCTCTGCGAGAGGCCAAGCAGGCAAGGTCAATCACGAATGGGAAAGATTGGACATTCAAAAGCATGGAAAGTGCCTGTAAAAACCCAAAGTTAGATCACTAAGATCATTTAATGACCAAAATAGTTTATATATCAAGAAATTATTAAATTATCAAAATTATAATCAAATGTTACAAGACTAATCTTTCCAGTCTCTAATTATTTTTCCATTGTAATATAAAATAATCACAACAAAATAATTAGGCCTAGTGTACAAATATTTTTGAAATCTAACATACCTACTCGTTCAAAGAGTAGGCAAATGTATTTCATATGTGCACATTTACAATCACTTGTGCTAAGCTAACACCTGTGTTTTCGAACGAGAGACAACAAAACTAACACTTGCAACCCACTAGCCAACTATGCAATCATATTACAATTTGTTGTACAATTTTTACATTGAGTATCCAAAAGATATGGTTTATGAATCTTTTCTATTCTTTTGACATTGTTGAGTTTTCATTTTTACTATTTCAATTGCTTGTAATAATATATCAAGAGGTTTTAAGAAAAAGTTAAACATTAAAATGAACTTTTAGTACATGGCTATGGCTAAAGAAATGTGAAAATGAGGGTAAAAATTATTTGTACTGCTAAAAGATAGAAAACCAAGTGATTATTATCAGTGCCATTGCCATTAACTTGGAATATAGCTGATATTTAACAAAAACCTATTTATGAATAAGCTCCCAAGTTGGGCTTATCAAGATGGTAAAAAAAAACCAATTGTTCCAAAAGTCATTTTGACATGTTTGGCTTAAATAAGAGGGAAGAGAAAAGGATAAGAATTAATTGTTTTAAAGATTGTTGGGAAAACTAAAAAGGCGATAGAGATGAGCAAGTACTGGCAAGTAGTGATTTTTTATCGTCAAACATATAATCAACCGTTCAAAATTGGAAAAGAAGTTGGAATTAGTTTATTATTTAGGGATGGAAGAGATTGGATTTTTAGTTCAAGGCAAGACGAGATTTTTTATTTCTCAAAAGTTTTGAGACGAGATTTCTTTTCTCAACGGAAAATGCACGTTTGGAAATGTTAACCTGATTTTGTAAAATTGTTAAAACCTACTTATTTATGACAGATGACTGGTTAAATACAAAAATCATAATAATAGGCAAGAGTATTTCAAATCTTTTATTAAAAAAGATCAGTATAAAAACAAATATTAATTAGCCCTACCTTATTAAAAAGAACTCTTACGCATAGGAAATAGTCAGTTAGGATAAAGTTCAACTTAAAAAACATTTATCAATCTAAAACATCAAAATGATTTTGGAGTGACTCCTGTATTGCACATTGCATTAAATTTCTGCAGGTGTTTTTAACGGTATTTTATAATCTCGTCTTAAAAAATATCAATCAAAATAAAATATCGTCACATAGATCGAGATTTAAAATTTCCCGAAAATTTCTCAAAATTTTAAACTTGTACATTCCTAATTATAATGACTCAATTTATTAATAGTTTTATTAATCAATAAAGTAGTGAAATTAGTTACTTTATGAAGTTGAAAACTTGCAGAAGTACTTTTATAAAATTTTAATTTAGACGGTTCACACATCCAAATTAAAATTTGGCAGTGCCTTGTCAGTTATTGTTTACTGCGCTATAATCATCAGTTAAGAGTTGCATATACATGTGTCTGTACTCCTCTCCCTAACTATGCCGATTAACGATGCAATGGTTATTGTATGATACAAAAATTACATTTTCAAAAAGATTTTATTAAGAGGGTATTAATTGATTAAATTAATGACCAACATAAATACAAATATAATTTAATGAAATTATCCTTGGAAAAAAATTTATCAACAGAGCATTGTTGCTTAACTAAATCACCTCAAAAAGTACATTTCAATCTACTTGACAGATTCTCAAGGTTTGGGTATAAAGAGTCAGGTCATAATTTGATACTACAATACTTTCCTCACAAAACTATTATTTTTTAATCTGGACGTACCTTTAAATCTTGAGCCACTTCTAAAATCCTGGTCAGTCTAGTTTGATCATTTTCTCCTCTCATGTACCATTCTCCCATTGCGTGCATGATGATGTTCTTAATGGAGTTCTGAAAAATTATAATGAAATATTATTTAAAAAAACTACTGATATCTCATTGACTAATTTGTTCCTAAGTTTTACCTATGACAGAAATTGATTGTAGGCCTACTGTAGGCGAGAGTTAAGAAGTCCTCTGAGCCATGGCCTATTCTAAAAATGCAGGCGCTTGCTACTCGACGGCTAAGCGCGCAGGGCGGGTTACTCATGTTCCACGCGGCAGTCAGGGCTTACTACCACTGCGTTAAAACCAAAAGAGCACCTACAAATATTGTGCGGCAACATACAAACATTACTGCATATCACTCTGGCTCAGAGGACTTCTTAACTCTCGCCTACAGTATAAGCAGTTTCAAATGTTTAAATCTAAAATCAAGTGTTAAACGGGATAGATAGAGAAGTTGAATTTTATCAACATAAAGGGACTGTGAGATATTCAGATAATGTTGAAATCTTCCATGTCATCCAGCAAATCTAACAAGACATTCTAAGTCATACTAGCAGTAAAAGACAAAAATATCACCAAAGATAACCTACCTGAGAGTGCCAGGCATGATGAAGGATTGCCGCTGAGTTTGGATGATTGGTGAGAAAATACGGGATCAGATTGGTCAGAAGCTCTTGACGCACCATCGATACATTGTTGATCTGTAGTAGTGCTAGTACCAGGACATCAGGACAGTTGGTCATCGGGTACTTGAGTAACTCTTGGACTTGAGGGTACAGTCCTCTCTCTGACAAGTACAGAAGGGTCTGGACCAAGTCTAGGGACCTCCTGTCAGAACATAAGATACAACTTTGAGTGATCTGTACCAAGGCATGAGGACAGTTGGTTATCAGATAGGCCTACTTGGGTAGCCCATAGACTTGAGGGGACAGTCCTCTCTCTGACAAGTACAGAAGGGTCTGGACCAAGTCTAGGGACCTCCTGTCAGAACATAAGATACAACTTTGAGTGATCTGTACCAAGGCATGAGGACAGTTGGTTATCAGATAGGCCTACTTGGGTAGCCCATAGACTTGAGGGGACAGTCCTCTCTCTGACAAGTACAGAAGGGTCTGGACCAAGTCTAGGGACCTCCTGTCAGAACATAAGATACAACTTTGAGTGATCTGTACCAAGGCATGAGGACAGTTGGTTATCAGATAGGCCTACTTGGGTAGCCCATAGACTTGAGGGGACAGTCCTCTCTCTGACAAGTACAGAAGGGTCTGGACCAAGTCTAGGGACCTCCTGTCAGAACATAAGATACAACTTTGAGTGATCTGTACCAAGGCATGAGGACAGTTGGTTATCAGATAGGCCTACTTGGGTAGCCCATAGACTTGAGGGGACAGTCCTCTCTCTGACAAGTACAGCAGGGTCTGGACCAAGTCTAGGGACCTCCTGTCAGAACATAAGATACAACTTTGAGTGATCTGTACCAAGGGATGAGGACAGTTGGTTATCAGATAGGCCTACTTGGGTAGCCCATAGACTTGAGGGGACATTCTTCTCTCTGACAATTACAGCAGGGTCTGGGCTGGACCAAGTCTAGGGACCTCCTGTCGGAACATAAGATAGGCACAACTTTGAGTGATCTGTACCAAGGCATGAGGTCGGATTTATAGCTGTGCTGAAGAATCAGTAAGGTAAGTTTTTATTTACTATGTTATGGCTATTACAAAACGTCAGTAGTTTTTACTAACATTTTTTACATTCTATAAAATTGTTGTAAGCTGATTTAAAAGGCCAGCCATTTTAATTTATCAAGGTACTATTAAAAATCCTCAAATCATTAGGTTAACTTTGGGAGTTAGTGGTAAATTGACAAGCTTTAGGGGGATTGGAAAATTGCTTGGAAGGATTGCTTGATTTGTCAAGGATTCAAATTTATTAATATTCAGAAAAAGGAGAAAGAGTGGTGTTATTTTTTTTAGTTGAGACAAATATTTGATCAACTATTTTAGAGTAACTGTTCATTGGAACATCCAAAACACCATTTTGATTTTTACTGGCAGTGTTGCCACTTTTAGGGTAATTACCCTTTTTAGGGTAATTTACTAGTCTTAGGGTACAGTTTAGGGCAATGGGCGTTTTAGAGTAATTTCATGGTAAAACAAAAAGTTAGCATAACAATAAAAATTTAACAAAAAACATGAAAAAACTTCAAAATTTGGCAAAAACATACATTACTTACATATCATGGCAAAACCGTTAAATGCTACTCAACAGGTTTAAATCGATTGACCATGTTAAAAAAAATAATCGATCTTATCATTAGTTGTGAATTATCTGTTTTAGATTGTATTCGATTCTATAACACATTATTAGGGATGGACGGGTCCCGAAATTTCGGGAATTTTTCGGGAAAAAAATATTCCCGATTATCGGGACGGGATTACATTTGACTCGGGAATTTTTCGGGACGGGATTTGGTCCGATTGTCGGCGATTTTTCAGCTTCGCGAGTGCCGATAACGCCGTTATTGCGAGCGATAGGTCCGCGAACGCAGGAGACGAAGTCATACCGACGATCGCGCCGTGACCGCGGAGTCCTACCGACGATCGTGCCGTGACCGCGAGTCATATTGACGATCGCGACGTGACCGCGAGTCATACCGACGATCGCGCCGTGACCGCGAGTCATGACAACGATCGCGCCGTGACCGCGGAATCATGCTGACGATCGAGCCGTGATCGCGAGTCACACCGACGATCGCGCCGTGACCGCGAGTCATACCAACGATAACCCCGTGACCGCGGAGTCCTACCGACGATCGCGCCGTGACCGCGAGTCATAAAGACGATCGCGCCGTGACCGCGGAGTCATGCTGACGATCGAGCCGTGATTGTGAGTCATACCGAAGATCATGCCGTGACCGCGAGTCATACCGACGATAACCCCGTGACCGCGGAGTCACACCGACGATCGCGCCTTGACCGCGAGTCATACCGACGATGACCCCGTGACCGCGGAGTCATACCGACGATGACCCCGTGACCGCGGAGTCATAACGACGATCGCGCTGTGACCGCGGAGTCCTACCGACGATCGCGCCGTGACCGCGAGTCATGACGACGATCGCGCCGTGACCGCGGAGTCATGCTGACGATCGAGCCGTGATCGCGAGTCATACCGACGATCATGCCGTGACCGCGAGTCATACCGACGATAACCCCGTGACCGCGGAGTCACACCGACGATCGCGCCGTGACCGCGGAGTCCTACCGACGATCGCGCCGTGACCGCGGAGTCCTACCAACGATCGCGCCGTGACCGCGAGTCATGACGACGATCGCGCCGTGACCGCGAGTCATGACGACGATCGCGCCGTGACCGCGAGTCATGACGACGATCGCGCCGTGACCGCGGAGTCATGCTGACGATCGAGCCTTGATCGCGAGTCATACCGACGATCATGCCGTGACCGCGAGTCATACCGACGATCACCCCGTGACCCGCGAGTCACAAGTTACTGTAGGTACCTGTAAATTGTTACCCATTTTTTGTTTTTATAGATCAGTGCCTCAAATGGTAAAAATTGATTTCGTATGTCTTTTTTGGTAACTGCAATACAGTACTTTCTTATTATGCACAGAAAAAAATCCCGTCCCGTCCCGTCCCGAAAATCGGGAAGGAAATAAAAATCCCGTCCCGTCCCGTCCCGAACTAAAAATTAAATCCCGTCCATCCCTACACATTATAATAAAATATAAAATATTATTCATTACTTCTTCCTATGAGTTAAATTACTAGGATTAGTTTACCGATTGTGTCAAAAAATTACAATAGGTATACATAGATTAGAGTTTTAATGGTACCGTACTGTATTATAAAGTGATGATGGTCCGAAAAAGAAGTAATGGGTTGATACAATAAAAAAATACAGTAATTCTTGTTTTGATATTTTTCTTATACGATAGAGCTGAATATAAACATGTACTTTTTTCGGGTTGTTTTCGAGAATCGAGTGAATATTGATTGATATTGAAATCTTATTTAGTCTAATTAACCACATTATGTAAGTTTAATATTATTTGAACAATGTTATACCATATGTCATTAAACACAAATATTAACATTTAGGGTAATTTCTAGGTTACCTGTTTCAAAGTAGATTTAGGGTAATTTTAGACACCTTTCGGGAAAAATCGCAACAACGTTGTTTACTGGAACCGGGTTAACCAGAACACTCCGAGAAAAGAAACAACAAATATTTTTTGTCACAGTATCGGTCATAAAACTCATGTCTAGGTGTAAAGCCAATGCTGAGGTCCCTGAACTTTAAGTTTGCGGTTGTTACACAACGATTCATTCTTTTTAACATCTCATTGTAAAGCATAAAAATTACAAAATGGAAAATACAGTAGGCCTACTTCCCCTTTAAATAATGGGACCTACTTCCCCAAAGTATAAGAGGGGCCTGATTTCATCCATTGATTATCCAGATTACCCCTCCACCCATACTAGTCTGGCTATGCACGGCTTTACTGTTACTGTATAACAATATGCCTTCAAACTGTAGGACATAATAGATCTACTGATAATTGTACATTACACATAATGATCATTGGAAATGGCAATGCATATATAGCACTATGCCAGTCTATTAACCTCCTAAGACACTATTCCAATATGTACCTAGCATCTTGTGCATTTGTGAATTCTCAAGAATTTTTAAATTGAATTATTCTGAGTAAAACTTTAACCTAAAAGACTATAAAACATTAGTAAAAGGAGGTAAAAACTCACCATGTTAGAATTTCCTTATTGTCATTTTCTGGCAATGTCTTCAATATGTCAATTGCAACCGCATGATATGGATAATCAGCAAAACAGAAGATGTCTGGATTTTTCAGTATTTGTGTGAAGAGTGATAGCTGGAAAGAACAAATTACAAATTTACACCACAAATTTAAATAAATCCAGGAAATTGAGTAACAAAATAAACATTGGCCTGATAAATATTGACAAAACATTCTTCTACAATAAGCTGAGTTCGAGCCAAACATTTGGAAAAATTCTTTTGGTGCTGGACGAGCTTTTAGTTTGGTACCTTGGCTTCAAAATCGAGCTGCTCACATACCTCTCATTATTACTATTTTACCAATTAAGATGAAAACACAACTGCATATTTCAACCCAAATATGAATGATAGAAATCAGAAATCTTTATTCACCATTGATCATATTACATGAAATAGGCTTTGTCATACAATATAGGCTAAATCTATCATAATACTAAGGAAAAGAAAATCTACACATATAACAATCATAAACATATATAATACTACTGACAATAACAACATTTCTTGGTCAATTCTATCTACAAATTAATCTAAGATCACAGGACAGTCTAAAAACTCAGTTAAACAATAAAACAGATTTTTTAATAGCCAATCGTGAATTTTCTTCTTTAAAACATTGACTGATGCAATTCTAGCATATGAAGGAAGTTTATTAAAAAAATAGAATACAGTTAATTTTGTGAGATGACCCAGTTTAGGCTAATCTGTGCATTGGGATATCAAGTCTCAACTTCCCTTTTGTGTTGTGGTTATGCTCTATCTTGTGACAAATTCTTGTAAGTTCATTTTGATGTGCATTAATGAGCAAATAATATACAAATTTACAACAGTGAGTATTTTAAGTTTAATAAATAATGGACGACAGTGCTCCACAAGGAAATACCCATGCTGACTACGGTAGCAGTAGCTTACTACACTTTCTTTGTTCTATTCATTACGTGATTTATTGCTGTACAGTGTTGTGTAGTTTTTGTTTTGCTTGAGTTTTAAGAGAAATTTTAAACGTTATGGTTTTTATTACTGAACCAAGGAGTCCGAGAAGAGATTCCCACAAAAGATAGGTAAATTTAAGCCTGCAAAAAAGTCAGATAACATAATATGTTCATACATATTTTTAAGGGGCTGAAAATTCATCAATTTAAGAGATTAACAAATAATAATGACTTAACATATCACGATTGCGCAATACTATTCGTATTTTGATGATGTAAAATACAAATTAATTATCACATACACATTAATGTCCATTTTATACAGTATTAGGCGTTTTTATGGGTACGAGTGGCTTGTAGGGACCTAAGTCCCCAAAAAGCTCAATAATGTAAAACAAATTATTACAATTTTGCGCCCAATGGAACTTGTCATAGTACTTACTTAATTAACAAATATATTTCCTGTAGCACCTATTCCATCTTATTTTCTAAGAGTAGCCGTTGAGGTTATTCCACGTCATATAAAATATTGATTAATCACTAACAATAAATCTCAAAATAAAATGTTAGTAAATTTACAAAGAAAGTGTAGAATACTTCTTGAACATTTGTTTGGAAATAAAAACAAAGCAGATTTTTTCCATTTAACCTTAAATCTTTAATTAATTATTTAGTCAATGTGGTTATTTCATGTTAAACGTAAAAATGCACAAATTAGAAGAGTTTTACAGTAGAATAATTTATTTCAACATTCTATAATGTAACTAAAAAGTCTAAATTATTATAGGTAACATTATCCCTGGATTTATATACTAAATTGCAGAATTGACTGGCAAATAGAGGTGTGCGGATATCCGAAAAATCGGGTCGGATTCGGTTCTGAAATTCGATATCTGACACTATCCGTTTTATATCCGACTTTTTCGGATAGACAATATATTTTGACGTTTTGGACAGAAAACTAAATCTCCATAGCCACCATTAGTTTCCCAGGACAAAATTACAGCAATACGTTTCCAACGACCTAACAGCAAACGGCAAAGAAGCCGTATGATGCAATACTGATAACTAGTTTAGTCGTTATTGGCTGTTTTGCTTTATATTAGATTCGTCTGGAACGAACAGACATAAAGCAGAAAAGAACTACCATGGTCAAATGAAAGTCAACTCGTGCTTGTCTCGCTCATGATACTAGGGGCGCTGCGTAATAGGTTTTTTTACAGTACTGTTTCAAAGTAGAAAAATCTAGCCTACTACTGTGATGTTACGTAAACAATAGATTTAATGTTTCCCGAAAAAAAAAGTCAGAATAGAAACAATAGAAAGGCAACACAATAGAAGGGTGGGAGGGGTTGGGCAATGACCTCGAAAGGAGCGCGGGTAGTGAGTCAAGTAGGACCAGAGGGGGAAGGGGTGGGTAAGACCTTGAAGCTATATATAGACTTGCACTACTTCCCTAAACCTAAAGGACTGGCCGGCGAGTAGTATTCCAATCACAGTACAAGATACATTGTTTTTTGGGTATTCATTGCCCGGTTTGACTTTGGATTGTCTTACTGTGTAGAAACTTTGAATAATAAAAAATAAAGTTAGAACTAACCACGATTATTTAGCATTGATTGTGAACATATTAAATGATTAAACTATAGGGACCATGGATATATACAAACTTTTGTCCTGATTTTAATTTCAACATCAAAATACAATATTGCACAATCGTCATATTTTAGGTCACTGACCTTTATTATGCATCCGGTATTGCTGTTTCAGAAGAGAAGCACGTTGATAAATTATAAATTAATATTCCCGTAGTTAAAAAGAATTATTTTATAAATCTATAAAACAAAATCATAAAATCTTACATAAAGATAACAATAACGGAAATTGTAAAAAGGGTATAAAGATAACAACGTCGTTATTCTTTCTCTTTGTTCTTCTATTTCTTGGGTTTCCCTTCATCACGCATTCAACAAGTTGCCATGGTTACTAATCACCCATGTGCGTTATCAGCTTTTGTGACATAGCGCACAGCAGGGGGGTAAAACTTGACAAAAATCGGTAAATTTTTACCTATTATTTAATTACCAATGAATGTACTACTTTATTGGTATTTGGTACTGTATTAATAATCAGTCAAAATGGCCGATTTTTGTCAAATTTTACACCAAATGTATTGAAATTTCAAGGTGAATATTAATAAAACAATTATTACCTAATATTTGTATTCATTAAAAAGATTGATTTGTGGTAGGCCTATTGGGTTCCCCACTGGGTGCAGCCGAGCAGCACTAATGAGGGTCGGACCTTCTTGGGGGTGAACAATAGACGGCTTATCAGACCCTCCCCTCCCCCGTGGTCTGGAGAAAGCTTGTAAACAAACTATTGCACAAGCGTGACTTGACATTGGGCTGCTTCAACTATAATTTTGTCAAATGAACTGTGATGTTTCAAAATCAAAAACAATAATTTGGGACCATACTGCTTAACAATAATGGACTGCAATTATTGTTGAACATACAATCCATTTTTAACAAACTAAGATTATACGATTCAAATACAATTATAAAAATTATCTTGGTATTTTACTTGGGGTAATGAAGTTATGTAGGCTAGTGTAATTCTCGGTTCATCAAGGTTCTACTGAATTATGTTTGACAGTGAATAAGTGTAGAATGCAATTTATAAATTCAGGGATACACACCTTTTACACAGTTATAAAGTCTAATTTAATTGCCCAACATCAAATCGTGAGCTAGAGCCCATCTTAGTGCATTAGTGATGTTTTCTAAACTTGGCAAACCCACAAAATGCCACTTTAAAGGGCAATAATCCGTTCCAAAAACGTAAGGAAATACAATGTGAAAATAAACTTGAGATCGAACTCCTTGGCTTGTGAGAACCAGGAAACAAGATAAAACATAACCTCAAGTAAACAAGCCCAAACGTTTGACATCAGTCCTGCTGAGCTAAGGTGTTGTGTGAAGATTTCGGCTGCTAGTGTACTTAATTCAAGCAACCAACTTTTAAAAATAAATGTTGTGAATTGTGATTTTCAAGAGAGAGAAAACTGTGGACTTGGCTAATTTAAAATTCTATAGTTCAAAATCGTCATTTAAGTTTATTTACACAGCTTTACATTGTTTTATAGGTTAAAAATACATATGCAGCTTATTATTAATCGCGCCGAACTATCCAAATCCGAAAATATCAGAATCCAAACATCTCAATATCCGATCCGATCCGAACCGAGCCTCAACTATCCGATCCGAAATGAAATTTCACTATCCGCACACCTCTACTGGCAAATAAGTCATCATTAATATTGGATACCGGCTTAGTGATAAATCACGATCAGCTGTATTGAAGTAAACAAAAATCAGCAGTGAATGGCTTTTAATGCTAATCTTATGCAGAATATTTTACGTTATATCTAATTTTGTGTTATAATTTTGGGAATATCACTATTTTTCCCGCCGTCACAGGACCGAGACCTTTAATTTGAGCCCTCTTCCGTCGTTCTACGACTTCTCAGTCACTCACAATTTTGACGCAAAGAATCGCCTTACGTAATTAATATATAGATGTAATATATGTTTATGCCATGGTGGATTAACCGTGGTTTTCAGTTATCCGTGGTTTCCCTCCCACCCATTACCTCAAATAATTGAGGTTCTACTGTACATTCGGTTAGTCCAGCCATTTTGTAATCCCGAACTAAATGATGGCCCGAGTGCCTGTACTAATAATAGTCCAGGAGCAGGTCTATTTCACTTGAGGGGTGCAGGACTGACATGCTGTCTTGCAGCCTGTCGTGGGATACAGTCCCTGCTGAACTCCTCAGCTAGGAAAACACCTGTTTTGAGTTAGTGCCATAAAACGCAGCTGTATTTGGCAACCAAATTTGGCAGCTAGGACAAATGGTGTTTAGTGGCAATACTGCAACTATTAGGCCCACCTGAGAGTCAGCGTGTTTCCAGTGACGGTATAGCAGATCCACAGGGAATCTGTCTGGGGGAAAGCCCTGACCCTGCAGTCCCAGTCTGAGAGTGGTAAACAGCAGACTCAGCCCTTGTCTGTCCTTCACCAAGAAGTCTGCATGGTCCAACTCCAGTATAACATCATTCCACTGAAGATTAGGTGCCTACGATAAGCAAACACAAATCATAAGTCATCAGTCATTTGTCTTATTAGAAATAACATATAAATATGATACAATAAAATTACTTATAAATAGGGATGGTCAAGTCTCGAAATTTCGGGAAATTTTCGGGAAATTTTAAATCTCGTTACACGAGACAAGATTTCTTTTTGGCCGAGATTTTTACCGAGACGGGAATAACAAAAAAAAAAATTAAAAACGCCTGCAGAAAGTCAATGCAATACCCGCAATACAGGAGCGTGTTGTAGTTGCGTTTCCTTTGTGAAGGCGTTCTTATTTAATTAATTCTTTAAATGTAAATATTATTTTAATTATTTTAATAATATTACTTTAATAACATTTGAGAAGTTTTGTAAAGTGTAAGCAGTGTGAGGAATGTTTTATTACTATAAAAAGTCAAAACAAATAACTATTTTATAAAAATTAATATTGCTTTTATTTTATGATTTATTTTATTTTAGGATAAGTTGAACTCTATCCTAACTGATATCACTATGTTTCCTAATCGTAGGCATTTTTAATAAGTTAGGCGTGATTAATAAAAAAATGTTATGCTGATGTTTTTTAATAAAAAGTTGTAAATATTCTTGCCTATTATCATTATTTTTGTATTTAAACAGTCATCTAACAATGTTACAAAATCAGGTAAACATTTTGAACGTGCATTTCCCTTTGTGTATGAGAAGGGAAATCCCGTCACGATCTCGTCTCGAAATTTTATGAGAAATAAAAATCTCGTCTCGTCTCGTCTCGAACTATAAATCCAATCTCGTCCATCCCTACTTATAAATAAAACTATAAATAAGTACAACTTACTTACTCCTGTAGCCATTGGAAACCTAGGTGGTTTTTGGCCTCGCCAACCATGTGCCTCCAAGCTCTTCTATCCTCTGCCAGCTCCAAGTCTGCTCCCATTCCTCTCAAGTCCTTCGTCAACTCATCAACCCATCGCATTCTTGGTCTACCTAATGGTCTTCTTCCTTCTGGTATACCTCTGAGTACCATCTTTACCATCTCTCTCTCACTTCTACGGTTAATATGGCCCATCGATCTCAACCTCCTACTCTTAACTATTGTAACTAAGTAAGTACAAACTAAAATAAAAACAACAAAATTGTGCAATAAATGCTCGTCAACAATGAAATCACACACCAGTAGTAGCACTAGGAGCAGTTCTCTTAGTCTTTTTTTAACTTAGTAGGGTTAGATTAAATGGAAGGGCGTTAGAGAATTTGATACCGTTGTAATAAAGATGTTTCTTGAAGAGAAAAGCTAACTGCATTGGAATGTCGGTACAGTAGACCCCCTCTTAACCGACCCTAATGGGACCGGACCTAGGTCAGATAACTCAAAAGGTCGGATCAAACGGGCAACCCCTAAATTTATAACCTAGAAGTGCTATTCATTTGGAATTATATGATCATTATTTTGAAGTCATACTTGCATTAATTATAAAATAAACTACGCTTATCTCCTTTTTTGTATTGATAGAAAAGTCACAAATAAACACAAAACACGGTTAAGTCAAATAGGCCTACTTTCAGTGGAATATATTATAATACTAGGCAAGAGTCAATAAAATTCCTATTTTAATAACTTTAGTACTGTACAGTAATGTATTAATTGATGCTTTCCAAATCCATCGTAATACAGTACAGAACCTTTTGTCGAAATTAAAGATACAAGCAACCATTTTGTTACATGACAGGACGTTTATTTATAGCCTCTCACTGGTGGCTCGAGGCACAAAAACTATCTTGACCTTGGAGTTGTTAACCCCCCCTGCCATCCAAACAAGTTGCTTTGTTTGTTTACTTCAGCGATAAGATAATCAGTTCCCAAAATTGTAACGCACTTTATGATGTTATAAATTTGCTACACAGTTAACAAATCAGATCAGATGTGCTCGAGCTAAAAACGATGATGACAAACTCACAATAGGCTATGCTATATTTTTTGTGATCAACACATAACTTATTCTTAGTCATCACATCCTGTGGGAGCGGAAATGCAGAGATTCCTAGAAAGCGGCGGTTAAACCAAGCTGCTCTCAAAGCAAGGTCGGTTAAAACAAACTGTATTATTTTACGATCGAAGGCAGATAATCCGATTATCGGTTAATACGAGGTCGGTTAAGAGGGGGTCTACTGTATTTTGATTGTTTATTAATAAATGAAGACAGACTCTAGTGCTTTTGAAAGTGGATTTTTCACAAAACACCAACTCTGATTAGGCCTACTAGGTTTTTGGATTCAAATAGAAAGGAAAGTTATACCTAAGGAAAATACATAATGGGGGAAGAGCAAAGTCAAGTCAATCGCATGTATCTCATGCTGTTATTCCAAAGCTGCTTTATCATTCAAATTCACGCCAGAGTTGAGGACTAAATCCGTAAATGGATAGTTAAAATACCCCCACCGCAGCAAACCTGCAGACTAAGCGAATATCAACTTGTCTGATTACATTTTTACTCAAATATTTCCATAAATAAGACATATGTATTCCCAATTGCTTAGGTTTGGTCGCTACGGGGAAGGTAAAAAGTGTTTTTGACCATACGTCAATAGTATAACACAAAATAAATAAATTTGCTAAATTTTATCAACATATATCCATAAACAAGGAAACTACAATTAATTTATTAATTTACTCCATAAGAATAACATTTGAATTTTAAAATACACTATTTTTGAATTTTTTCCTTGACCGTTAGGCATATAACAGCGCTTCAATATACTAAATTATTTCTTTTTTTAAGCTATACAAAACGGTTAAAAAAGGGATTTTTTTTAGGGTCAAAAATGGGAAAACCCCATTTTTACCCCATAAACCCCCGTTCCCATGGTCCGATTATGTTGGTTTGCGAACTTGTTCGAATAAACATAGATTTACCGGTACACGTTTGTACCAAATTTCATTGAAATCTTATCATTTTTGCTTAGCTCATTCCCTATATGGGAAATTCGCTAAAAAATAGAGTAGGCTATTGTGGGAAAAAAGATGTTTGCTCACCATTTCCTTGAGTGTCTGCACAAAGACCTCCACATTCCAGCCAGAGGGTTGTGGCGGCTCAGGAGGTTTGTCCTTGGGCGGGGACGGGTCAGTAGTGCCAGCCCAGTAGGCACTGTTCAGTCCGGTGTGGTAGCGTACCATCATAGACAGCACACGTGCCACACCGCCGGCACTAATGTTGGTGGCACCCATAGTCACCAGATGGTTACGGCACTCCTCCACACCCGTGGTGAATGGGTAGCCTATCTCCATTACTAGGTCTGCTAGAGCACTATCCAGCTGTTACATGAAAAGTCAATTTATTAGAACCCACCAATTTACTTTATTCGTTTTGTTTAAAAAAAAAAGGCTTTAGACCAGGATTTTTATTTTTATTTTAAGGGATAGCTGCTGGTTTACATTTGAGAAGACCAGATAGGCGCCATTGTACCCATTAAAAACACAAAACACAATATATTTTGTCCGTTGAGAGACTTTGTCAAGTGTTTGTAAATCGAGTCTATATAAACTAGTGAAAGGTTGCAATTTTGAACAGCTTTCAACAACCATCACAGCGACTGGTTAAACTATCAAACATTATGTGTGTAACTCTTTTTATCTACACTTCCTAGGGAACAAAATATCGTATGTATTGTGTCTTCAATGTGTACCATGGACTAGATGAACTTCTTTTCAGGTAAGCTATCTGCTATCCACCCTCTTTGTAAATAATTGCATTTAAAAACACTATTTATATTAGCAGCAGGGAAATAAGTTATCACTCCATAGACAATATATTTCTCTCATTAGCCTAGCCACTTTGTTGACTAAAAAACCATTCTAATCAATTCTAGCTTCAAAACAAGTGTGTATATCTCTATTTTTATTTTGTAGCATATAAGAAATGTGCTAAAAACTGTTAATCGATTTTTCTAACATTGTCTCATTAATTTCCATTTCATATTTTGTATCAGACTGAAAAAAATCTAGGCAATGACCTCAATTATTTGGAAGGCAAAAAGAAAAATTAAATTTTCAACACAGTTGAGGATAATGCTTTTGGTAAAACCACATTGGATATTTTATCTCAGAAATTCCTAGATAGACTATCTGTACTCTTTATCTCCTTTATCATTAGTACATAAAAATAACAATACCTACTATTGATATGCATCTTAAACAAGGTCTAATACTCCCTAAAATGATAGTATCTTAGGCTATTTGGAAAGCTTTTAAATAATTCTGTAACAAACATGCCTAACAATTGTTACTGTGTTATACCATTGAGGTCACTTGGCGGTGAAAACATTGATGTACAGAAAACTGTTTTAACCTTTAAACAGATATATAAAATAGGCTAGCAATTTTAGATAAAAATCAAGCAAAGTGTATGAAAAAATTGAATTAAGTTCTTCAATCATAAGGTTAAAGTAAATATGTCAAAATTTTACCTATTCCAATTGAAAGAGGCAACAGCATCACTCAACAAGACAAAAAACTATTTAGGAAGAAGAGAACATATAGTATATTATAGAAAATTCTTTGAATTCAGATTTAAGTAAAACTTCTAAATACCAAAATGTATTGATTAGATCTACCTTTCCAGTTGCTGCTGGAGTTATGAAAGAAGTTACACTGTCTAGGCCACTAGGCCTATGTGTTTGACTTAGGGATGGTCAAGTCTCGAAATTTCAGGAAATTTTCGGGAACTTTTAAATCTCGTTATATAAGACGAGATTTCTTTTTAATTGAGATTTTTTTCAAGACGAGAATTTTAAAAAAAATTTAAATACCCGCAATACAGGAGCGCGTTGTAGTTGCGTTTCTTTTGCGAAGGTGTTCTTATTTAATTAATTCTTTACATGTAAATATTACTTTAATTATTTTATCAATTGAGAAGTTTTGTTAAGTTTAAGCAGTGTGAGGCATGTTTTAATACTATAAATAAACAAAGCCTGAGCAAGTAGGCCTAACTATTTTATACAAAATAAATATTGTTTTTATTTTATGATTTATTTTATTTTAGGATAAGTTTAACTCTATCCTAACTGATATCACCAAGTTTTCGTACTCGTAAGCATTTCTAATAACTTAAGCGTAATTAATATACATTTTTTTATGCTGATGTTTTTTAATACAAATTTTGAATTATTCTTGCCCATTATAATTATTATGTAACATAAGTTTGCATTTTTGTATTTAAACAGTGATCTAACAATGTTACAAAATCAGGTAAAAATGTCAAACGTGCATTTCCCGTTGTGTATGAGAAGGGAATCCCGTCTCGATCTCGTCTCCAAATTTTATGAGAAATAAAAAATCTCGTCTCGTCTCTTCTCGAACTAAAAATCCAATCTCATCCATCCCTAGTTTGACTGATAAAAATTGAGTATAAAATTAGAAGTAAAAATATTATAATATGTTTAATTGGCAGGTAAAACTTATGTATATGCAATACATATATATTGGTACGTAAATAAGTATTGGTGCTTATTATAGATGGAAATACCGTTACTCTTGCAATTATAGTCAGGATCATACCTTGGCTTTTCGGTAATAGGTGAATAGTATTATTATTTTTGTCACCATTACTACCGTACTTCAAACAGTACATTTCAGTCGGTTGCTGTTAATAGGAAGACCAAATCAGCATTATTTCACGGTTCCAACGGTTAAAACGACGTTAAGAAAGAAGATATTATCAGTAATCTATTAGCTACCAAGTTACAGTCTCTAAGCTAACATGGATGATTTACTACACTTGCCATTGTGCTAGCCATACTGGATGTATCCTGATTCAGTTTGTCCATAGGCAGATCACAATTGTAGGGGTAAAGTAGTGGAGCTAGCACAACAGGCACCAACTCTCGAGGGAAATCTCTTCGTAAATTTTTCAAAAATATTTCCTTGGTTTCAGGAGTAACACCTGAAAATAGATTATTTTAATATAGGTTTTATAATTTACAAGTTTAATGTTGAAACATGAATTTTCTTTAGAAGCCTACACTTTTCTTGAATTTAGTTGTTTTAGTGAATTATCTTTTAGAATGTCGCTCATTTATTTAACAGAGTCGAGGAAGACATAGGAACAAGACTATTATGCGTTTCAATTTTGAGTGCCCTATAATAATTTATATTATTTAATAGCCTAATGTTTTCATAAATGTATATAAATGACATAGTATGAAAGCACTATATTTAGCAGAATGTATAACCTAGGCTAAATTTTGGATTTCGGTACGTGGGTGTTTCTGGAGGTTTTGTAGGGACTAACAAAGGAATTCATTTCTATGGGGGCATGAAAGTGTAAACTAACATAAGAAGCCCATAAAAATAAAACTAAATATTTATTGCGTTTTTAAAATAGTAAACAAATCTTGATTAGTAAAGGAATTTTTTTACACAAATAAAAGTTTAAAAACTATTCATTATAGTAATTTTTTTTATATTTTATAATTAGGTATAAAATATACCAAAAAACAATGAATATAAGTTGGATTTTGACGGGGCAGGGAGATAAGACTTACCTAGCGTTTCACCAGGACCAAAGAGACTTTTCAAGATAAGATTAAGTACTTCCGGGGTCGTGTCGTGAAGTCCACCTTCTGGGAGACTAGAATTTGCTGTATCTGAAAGAAAATTTCTGGTCAAGAAGAATCTTTCTATGTAAGGAAAACATATAGGAAAGATAACTTCAAATAAAAAGACAGACATGAATGCTGATATGACATAAATTTAGAGCATCAAAAGTACCTGTAAGAAATAATGAAACTTTAAAAGCATTTACTTTTTAAACAGATATAAAAAATACAAAAACACTTTAATTAAGTTTCCAGCAGATGTTTTCATAATGTTGTTTTGTACCTAAAATGAGTATTTATTGTATCTACTAACATTAAGTTGTGTAGCAAACTATTCTTTAAATTAACTCGTATAAAATGTTAAACAGGTATTCATTGTTAGAGTAACGTAATGGGTAAATAAGGCCTAGTTTTTACACTGGAAAAAATATATATTTGGTTTAGTGGTTTTTGTTTGACTGAAATATAGAAACCTCAGTTCTAAGAAACTGTGAGTCTTTATCACAGTAAAACTTAAAACAAGTGTTTCGGTGGATCCTGTTCTCACCTGAGTTGATATAAGTACGAATAAGTTCTGGTAATTTTTGCTTCAGAAAATGAGTAGCGAAGACAACGGTATCACTGTTGGACGAGTGAAGAAGGGCGAGACCAAAGGTGACCTCCTGTATTGGTGAGAGACGCAGAGCTTTACTGATGTGGGGAAGAAGTTGGTTGGAAGGTTTCTGAAAATATAATTGAATATAATAAATTATACTCATTCTGATAGCCCCTGGACTGTAGACGGAGGTAAGCATAAAAAATTAAATCAAATACATTAAATAAAAACAATACACTGATAAAACTAGTTTATCCTTTTGAGCATAATACCGTTACACAAAATGTATTTTCTGTTTTGAATAATTTCATAAAAAACTGTTTTTGATAACTGTTTGTATTAAGGATATGCCTAATGGTAACAAGGGGTGTATAACATTTCTTTTCTGTTTTGACTAATTGTATAAAAACAGTTTTTGTGTGTCTAAAAACCTAAAAAGGCCAACTTCTTGAGCTAATTTTATTAATGTTTACATATTGGTGTTAGTTAATAAATAGTCAAAATTAATATCTAAATTAGGCCTAAGTTTAATAAGAAAGTGGTTGAAATAAATAAAAGAAAAAAACTGGTAATTTGCTTAGTCTGCAGATTTTCTGGCAATGGCAACAAGAGATATATTTTGGCCATTCAGTTTTTAACGAATGGCTATGCCATGCATACGCCTATATAAGTTGTCTTCACCAATTGTCATCACGTGATTGTGGGATTGTCGGAAGCCATTTGTCCTCAGTGCACTCCAAGAGACAACCGAATTTCAGGGCAATCGTGAGGGCAGTTAGCAAGGCAATTGGCCTGAAATGTTTAGCCTACACAAAGCCAATAATTGCATGCCAGTCAGTTGTCTAATGACAATTGTCTCCCCTGCTGGCATAGTGTAAACCGGGCTTTAGCAAACATACTTAATGACTGAAAATGAGTTTAATCATTACATAACATCAGGCAACATTCTATAAACTAAGTTATAAAGCAGTAACAACCATTAGTCTTATACCTTTTGGTGGTGCAGAGGGTTGTCGACGGCGTAACAGAGGTTGGATATGAGCGCAGGCTTTGTTAGAAGCGCAGCACACTCCTGTATCAGTAGTTGGACCTGAAGGTTGTCTTTTGAGAGGTTTTTGATGCCCTCGAGGCTTAAATCCAAGTAAGAGAAAAGACAACGCAGCAAGTGTCTGTCCGCTTCTAGACCGTGCAACGCAACCAACTGGAACAACAAACACGAGCAAGTTAGTACCCTTAGATTTAATCGTCTACAACTTCCTCACCTAGACAAAACTTCTCTGACAACAAACAATAATTTTAGTACTAATTGACTAGGCCTTACTTTTTCATGTCACATTTTTAGTTTTTCTCCATGCCTTAAGTTTGAAAATATCTATGTTAGGCTATAAACTTAAGCCTGGACACTACCAACCATAGTCTACAGGGTAGTCCTATGGCCTATTCATTATTGAGAAATAGGCGTACTAAAAACTACTTATACCATTAGTTAGTACCAGTATGAAGGGTTTATTCCAAAAAACTAGGCCTATTCAAAATTTTATTTCAATATTTTAAAGGTGACAAAATGCAGTGGGCCTGAATTTATAACGTCAAACAGGTATATATAGTCAATGGTCAAACTTACACTAGGCCTACTAGAGCATAGAAGAATTGCTGCAGTAAAAATTGTCTGCCAACTCTGGCACAAACATTTGCCAAAACCAAGATTGCGGTTTTGGTGACATCTGTATTAGTACATAGTTGCTTAAATGGCATTCCCCTTCAGATAAGTTAGTTATTCTGGGTACGCTGAATGTAACCTACTGGTATGCCAATCGGTAATTATTCTATATAGGTGCCTCCAAAGAAATGTTTAACCCTCCCAGTGTCAAACATCGATGCATTGACGGTAATGAAACACTCTGGGGTGTCAAGCGCAGACGGCTACATATTTATATATTATATAGGTATTATAATATATAAATGTATTATAATATATAGATTTATATATTATAGCACGCCTATAACTATACTGCCGTAGATTACCTACACCACAAGCACTATTATTTGTTTAAATTTATGACAACAGCTAATTTCCAACCAAAAGGTGAGTGAGCGTAGCAAACGAACTTCAACCTGGAGGCGAGTTAGCGTAGCGAACGAGCTAACCTGAAGGCAAGTGAGCGCAGCGAACGAGGTCCAACCTAAAGGTGAGTGAGCGTAGCGAACGAACTTCAACCAGGACGTGATTGAGCCATGCGAACGAGCTCACTTTTGAAGTAAAACGGGGCAAAGCCCGAGGGTACAGCTAGTTTTTCATAAGAAAAAGAAAAGTTGAATTTGTCAAAGAGGAAGATATTTAGATATTTAATATTCTATGCTATTAAAATAACATATGATTATTTATGTTTATCTTACATCTGTTTACAAATAGGTGTTGTTGTTATATTTTTATGCCATAGAAAACTATGTTGCTAAAAAATTTCTCCTTTATTTAGAACTAATTAATTACAACTAAACAGAGATATTTAAAATTAGTTTATAACAAGTTTTCAAAACCCTCTAAGATGTTAGAATTACTCTAATTTAAGCGTAACGTTTTCCTCGGCGTTATGTTTCTTGAGCCGCATGGGTTGTCTAGTTGTCTGTAAACATTACAGTACCGGTACATAATTGTCTGTAACATTAACATTACTGTAAACTGTCTGTAAACATTTTATTATAACAATAAATTGCAGAGAGACAGAATCAACATGGAAACAGTCAGAGGTTTTTTTTATGTACCAAAGGGTTTTTTTATAAAAGAACAGATAATTTGGGGTAAATTTCTTAAAAACATCAATAACATTTAAAAATTAATCTGAGTCAATAATACGATTTTGCTCAGATAATAATCTAATCACATCCAAGGTTTAAATCCAGTAAAAATTCATATGAAAGAACCCATACAACGCCCATCATCCTACCTACCTCACATGTCTTTTCCATCTTATAAAACTAATTTTTTAAAAGCTGTTCCAGAAGTTTAGCTGGGTTATGTTAGGTTAGAATGGTGTCAATTTGTAATGTATGAATTTTTTTAAGAAGTTTGGTCAAAGATTAAATATTGGCCAGTCTAGGGTTGGTTAAGTCTGCCACTACACCATCATCATAATGGGACATAAAAGTTACCGGTACATGGTGAATCCTAAGCTAAGCCACTCGGTTTCAAAGTGGAGAGAAGAACCGAAAAAAAATATTCTCTCTTAATTTTTCATAACCCAGTCCAGGAATGAAATATGTCCGACCAAAAGGTAAATCTTAATTTTAATCAAATGGGATTTAGGTTATACAGGCCTAGGTGCCTAAGTTACTTGACGCTTTTTCCTTTTACTTGTCGAATTGTGGGGTCTTAATGTAGGCCAAATATTTAATGTAAAAATACATGCTTAACCAATCAATAGTGACTTGGGCTATTAACTTAGATTTTAGAGTGTAAACTCTGAAGTGCAGATCAACGTTTCTAATAGGCCTAGGCCTACAACATTAAAAAAATATAGCTTTGTTACAGTAGTAATTTTTACCACAGCAGAAAAACTTGTGCACTATTATTGTTTTCAGGTAAAAATCTGAAAACATTTGGAGATGTAGGCTAATTGGTAATTGGGGGTAATCTAGCTTGAAGATATTTAAGTTAACTTACTATGTAGGTTCCCATGATCACCTTAATAGGCTATATACAGGCCTAATTACCAAATTAATGCATCTTTGGATTCAGTGTGCAAAAAACTGTAGCCTAAGTAGACATAAGTTAGGTCTAAGTTTAACTAAGGAAAGTTTATCGAAACCGAAACCATTTTTAACCATTGTTTAAGCTATACGGTACGGAATAATTGGCGCATTCTCTTCGGTAGGCTTACAAAAACAAAGATAACGGGAAGATTTCCCGACCGATTCATAGAATCAACAACCGTTTACCTCATAACCTATAGAGCCTGGAAGTTAAAATTTAGCACATTGCCCTTAACTTAAGACATGGGTAAGAAACCACCCTAGAGCCTTGGTAATTTTTAAGACCAAAATAATAAATGAGGTACACAATTTCACACTTCAGGAACTGCATTTTGGGTGAGTTGGGAGCTGTAAACGTTTACCGGCTAGGCCTTAGGTAGGGCCCATAGGCACTATTATTTTTTCCTCGTGAAATCATACAGCAAGTGTGGTTGGTTTGGTTAGTTCAGAACAGTTTAATATCATAATGAACCATTATTTTTCCTTGTTAAATCATACAGCAAGTTTGGTTGGTTTGGTTATTTTAAAACAATTTCATTTCATAATGAACGATTATTTTTTTGTCATAAAATCATACAGCAAGTTTGGTTGGTTTGGTTAGCTTAGAACAGTTTCATTTCATAATCAACATTTTTTTCTCAACAAGTGAGTGTCATTTTAAGATCTACATGTTGAAATCGTAACTGTGCAGTACTTTGCTATTGAAAATGGGATTTTACGAGAAATACAGAAGGAATTCAAGTTAAATTGAATGAATTCTAGGGGTAATGGTGGTACGGTGACATGTCACTGCAACTGCATTGCTATTGTTTGTGGTAAAACAGATCAACAGATACCTAATGTAATTGTGCAGATTTCTGATTGGCTGATGGTTTCTTTCGTGAAGTAATCTGATTGGCTGGTGGTTTCTTTGTTAGGTAGTTGTTAGTTTAGGACTGTCTCCATGACTCCCATGTTGTTAGTTCAAAGTGAAGTAGTGACAAAGGAGGACGTAGCTCAAATTTGTGATTAATTTGCATTCTGATTGTGTCGGAACATCGCATTCGGAAATTATGTAGAAAACGGGGTGATTCCTGATGAAATATGTGGATAGCCTAGGCCTACCTATCAATATGTAGGCTATTTGGTGGACGAAGTGATTTTAATTTTCGTTGTTGGCTAGTTTTTGCTGGTTGGCTATCGGCAAACCAAAGACATGGTGCTCTCCTGGCGTGCCGGTTTAGGTTATCTTTGAGTGAGACCGTAGAAGGCTAAATTATATGCCGAGTGCATAGGCCTATATTCCTTGTGAATTTTTTTAACATCGATGTAGTGAATCCAACATTATTGAAGTGTGGAATTGTGTAAAATTGGTGTAGCCTATAAGTACCTATTGAGGTTTTGGAGGAACTGTTGTTGGGGTCGGTTTTATTAAATTCCAGTCAATATTTGGGACTGGAATTGCTTTTAATATCCTAAAAAACTTCATTTACTTAAGTTAATACACTTTTTACACAATTTCACAACAGAAAGTGTTTATAAGCTGGGGTCTGGGTCCTAAATTTTTACCGTTCTTTGTGCCGACAGATAACTTATGGAATTCTACCCTTTACGATTGCACAGTTCGGTATTACAAACTTAATGATCACTGTTTAACAGATTTTTTCCCGTGGTCTGCGTGTACTGTGAACCAAGTGACAGCTGGTCTAAGTAGGCCTACCTATGTGAAGATTGAATTGTACAAGTTTACCTCGGTCAGTGGCAATGACCGCAGCGTCTCATATGCGATGCTCAGTACCGGTAGTAAACGTGTTAGCCTAGTGGAAAAACTCATTTCGATAGCCTAGGCCTAGGTAGGCCAAGGATAGGCCTACAATTTTGGACAATACAACCAACCTTTGTAACATTTTCCTAAACGTTAAGATTAAATTGGATCATCATTTTTGTTGTAGGCTAGAATGTTTTGCTAGACTAAGTTAGGCCTAGCCTATCAACTCTGACCCAAGCTTAAAATAGGTCTAACTTAGGCATAAGTTTAGGCTATTTCAATCCAGGATTCATTTGACAAAATAGGCTAGCCTAGATTAACTAAGGGCCTAAGTACCTATCTAATTTTACTGGACTGGCCTAGGTTAAGCATGTAATTACTAGATGAACACCTTCCACAGAAATATCGACAACAACAAACATGAATATCATTAGAACCATCATGTCCGAATGAAGATGTTACTAGGGGGCCAAAGTTAGATGATTTGGCAGATTTTTTTAGACTAAGTTACCAAACAGAAAACTGATAACTTACTTGGAATATTTCTTGAATGCTTGATTTATAATTTTTCTTCGACAAATTCGCAACCAAATAACTTATTTGTGACAAAGTAAATGACAACGAGTCCAGGTTCATAGTTCCATGAATACGGCCTCGAAAGCTTCAAACTTGTTTGAAGCTTTCTTCGGTATCCACGAAATGCTTTCCTGGCAAAACTGGATTGAGAAGTTGAATAAACTACATAAACAAAGGTTTAAGTCCAACATCGGGATGAATATGTTGTCACCAGCTTCAAATTAACATCGTTTTAAAGTTACAACATCAATAAAGAAACAGATCGAAAAACACTTCAGTTCCACTATCACTATACACTATTACACTTCGCTACTTCGCTTCACTTTTTCTTTTCTTTCATAGCCCTTCGTCCCTTCCCTTCCCTTCCCCATCGTCAGGCTCAGGGTTCCAGGTTGTGTTTGTCACCACAGGTAAAACGTATTCCACTCGCATCTGAAATCTAATTTTGCAGCCAGCAAAACCTGACTAAATATTATGTAGCAAAGGTTTGAAGAGTGTTGATGTCTAAAATAAATTATCCACTCTGATGTTGACATTTTTTTACGTTTAATCATAGATAAAACATGGTTAGTCTATGGTTTAATCAATAAAATATTAAATCATAAATATTTTCTTATTTTGGTTTTAGCCATTGGGAGATATATAATCAATGCCCTTATAAATAATTCAATGCATCTAAAATGCATTCTGAAGGGAGTATTTATAGAATAATTTATTGTTACATGTACATATACAATCTCCAAAAGGCAGACACTAACCCTGACAATAAACATAAGTTAACTTCATAGGAAATAATTTTAAGAGTTACTGTGATATTAGGATTTTCCACTGATTTGGCAATAGAACATTATATTGTAAAACATGACATGATGCAGAAGAAAATATATTTTAAAATCAGAAAAAAAAAACCATTGCAAATACAGTACTTCATTTTGACAAATTCAGTAAATCACAATTTAAATATTAACAGCTGTTTCATTAAAAATTGGTGTAAAATTATACATATGGTCATAATGTAAACAAATCTGCTGAGGGGACTTTAAAGGCCTCTGGGGCAGAGCCCCCAGGGGATTTACCTCGTTTCTCTTTTGATGGCTCATCTACAGACCAAGACCTTTCTTTAGAGACCCCTACCAAATTTCTACACCCAGCCGTTCTCTCGAATTAGCTGTGACAAAAACCCGTTTTTCCCCCATAAGAATAACATGGGATGGGAATTTAAAGGCCACTGGGGCAGAGCCCCAAGTGAATTTACCACGTTTCTCTTTTGATGGCTCATCCAGGCCCGTTTTTGACCCTGTCAGCGCCCTAGGCACAACTAATAGTAGCGCCAGGCCCGTTTTTGACCCTGTCAGCGCCCTAGGCACAACTAATAGTAGCGCCCCTTTGCAATATACATAACAGGGTGTCCACAAACAGTGTTGGGAAGTAGCGCGCTACAAGTAGCGACGCTACAGTAGCGCGCTACTTTTTTTGTAGCGTTAGCTGTAGCTACGCTACTTTTAAGATTTTGTAGCTTTAGCTGTAGCTAGCTACATTTTTAAAGTAGTTGTAGCGGAATTTTAGCTACTTTTCTCGCTACTTTAACATTGTTTGAGATAGTGATTTTTATCATAACCTCAACCTTACGTGAAACAACCTCTTTCAAACTGAGATTTTCAAAAAAATTAGGCCTTACTTTCTTGGCTTCATGCAGCTGGTTGCAGCCGTTTCATTCCCTATTACAACGTTGTGTGGACATGGAGGCCATTAAATGAGTGTTATCCACATTTTTTGGCTCTCATTTCCTTAATTTACTACTCTATGATTACTGTCAGATAAAATAAAATCGCTAGATGGCTAGATGCACTATGCAGACGACGTTTAAACGTTACCGGTGACAAGAGAAGCTATTGAATGCTTGCAAGTGATTGACAGGGAAATTAGTAATCAATTTAGTTTAATTTTTATACCGATAGTGTTTAAACTTGGATTTTAATGGAAACCAACACTAAACCTTAAAATAATGAGAAAGCTGGTCTATCAACCTTTGCTTCAGCTGTTGATTGTGGTTCATCATCACAAGCCCTTCCTTGGTTAGATTACGAAGTTTTTCAAAGGTTTACTAAATTAACAAAGAGGAAATTACCTGATGTGATTTTAGATATGCCTAGACTACATGATAATTGTAACGAAAAAATCTCCATATAACATGAAACTTACATTGAAAAAATAGCATAGTTTGCTCCTGCTAACAGCTCTTGTATAGGACTATTAATTCCTAGGCTATGCTATGGTTTAAGACGAATACCAAGTTCCAAGTTCAATTATTAGGAATATATATGTTTAGTCCTTGCAAGAACAAGCCTACTATAGCCAACTTGTTACATAGCCAAGTAGGCCTACATGTTATTTTTACTTTACAAATTTCAACATGTTTAAATTAAAAGCCGATTTCAGGATAAGTTACTGGATACTGTTTTCTGTACCAACTAGGTTGAAGCACAATTTGCCCTATGCATAATGACAATAAAGGACGATTTCTTGACATTGAAAAGTGTTATTCATAGAACAAGTAACTTATCACTTAAAAGTTTATAGCAATGTCGTTTTTAACATTAAAAGAAAGGCAATAAACTCCAATTTCAGTAGGCTAGGCTCTGTAAAAAAAATATTTTTAAATAATCGTTTTATAGTTTTATTGGTCTTAATTGTTGATATAAGACATCTATAAATGAATCTATATTAAAGAAATAAAATGAGCTTTTAAAATATAGTTTGGTTGTATGTCCTTTGAACTTAATGAAATTTACATTTAAGATGCTTAAAAATAATGCAATATTTAAAAATAAGTACTAAATATGATGGGACACCGAACTATTTGGTTCTGTTGTTGTAATGTTAGGTTTATAATGCCAAAAAATTAAATACAATCTAGGAATAATTTGTTTTCCAATTAATGTTAGATACAATACTGACATTTTTTTTAATGTTTGTTCAGTAAAAATGTAGTTGCAATTAATTTTACATTTACCTAATGTGTGTGGAATAAAAAGTAACGTCTTTGGAAAAGTAGCTAAAATTGTAGCTGTAGCTACATTTCATTGTAGCTGTAGTTGTAGCTAGCTACTTTTTCGGAACTGTAGCTGTAGCTGTAGCTAAGCTACTTTTTTTGAAATGTAGCAGTAGTTGTAGCTAGCTACATTTTAAAAGTAGCTTCCCCAACACTGTCCACAAATCGGGAAAACTGGGAAATCCGTGAATTATGAGTGAGTTTTTTAAACCGGGAATTATGCATTAAATTTGTATTTTCTACCTGGAATTGTCATTTTTCCGTGATCCCGCATAACAACAGACCGCCATGATGATATCTACAAAGCCACGAGGGATGATCAGAATATTGCCGCGATCACGGAAAACCATGATAATGCCCACGCGACCGCGGGAAACAGCAAGAATTTGCCCACGATCGCCGAAGACGATAATGATCTCCACACAACTGCGGGAAATTATTAACATTTTGCCGCAATTGCGGGAGGCGATTAGGATGTTTTCACGACCGCTGAAGATGATTAGGATGGTTACAGGACTGCGGGAGATACAATAATAATAGGCCTACGAGAGGGATGTAGAATTATGCCGCGATCGTGCAAGACGATGATAATGTCCACATGACCGCGGGAAAAAATCAGAATTTTTCCATTGACGGAAGACGATGATCTCCACATGGTCGCAGGAGATGATTACCATTTTGCCCCAATGGCGGGATGCGATTACTATGTTCAAACGATCACTGGGAACAATATAAAGATGTCTTCACGGCCGTGAGGGGTAATCAGAATTTTATTGCGATCGCGCAAGAATATGTAATGTCCGTCCACTCGATCGCAGGAAAATATCAAAATTTTTTGCCTTATTTGCGGAAGACGGTAGGCCTAATGATCTCCAAAAGAGCGTGGGAGATTAATACTATTTTGCTGCAATCGCAGGAGGCGATTACCATATCTACATGACCGCGGGTGACAACTTAATGATGTCTTTACGGCCGCGAGTGTCGATCAGATTTTGCCCACGATCGCGCAAGGCGATGATAATGTCCACACGACCACGGTAAAAGATAAGAATTTTGCCTCATTCACGGTAGACGATGACAATCTCCTCACGACCGCGGAATATGTTCATATATTGCCGCGATCATGGAAGACGATAATTATTTCTACACGACCGCGGAAAATAGTCAGAATTTTGCCGCAATCGCGGGAGACGATTACGATGTCTACACGGCCGCGAGGGATCATCAGAAGTTTACCGCGATCGCATGCAAATACAACCACAATTTTTTTATTTTCCAATTTTTTGGCGCCCCCAAAAAAAACCAATTGCCTCGCGCCCTAGGCACGTGCCTACCGTGCCTATTCGGTAAATCGGCCCTGGGCTCATCTACAGTCCAAGCCCTTTCTTTAGACACCTATACAGAGTTTCTACGCCCAGCCGTTCTCTCAAATTAGCTGTCACAAAGAAAAACAGTTTCAAAATTAATATATAGATTAATGTTGGTTCAGCCATTCTATGACTTCAAAGTCAGGCTTTTGTTTACAATTTGTTTCTTGTCTATTATTCTAATTCCGTAAGGAGTTTAGTTATTAGAGTTATGTCTAATTCCGTAAGGAATTTCTTGTCTATATAGTAAAACTCTTTTATTTATGAACCGATTTTGATGATTAAGGTGTCAGATTAAAAGGAATTCTCTGTAAAAATCATGGAATTAACTTTTGTCAAGCTCAGGTCAATGTACTTTGCTCCATTTAACTTTAAAGTTTTCATGTATTTTAAATATATACGGTAAGTCAAAATTTGTTAAGATTGCCTAACATGTGATTTCATTTATTAAAAGAAAACATCTGTTTAAAAAAAATAGCCTGTTTCCCTTCTTTCATTTTAATATTTACTTTTTGTGTTTACCTATCAGTTTACTAAAGCAGTTTACTAAAGTTTAGATCATCTGTAGAATAATTATTACTGCGAGATATTGCCAGAAGAGACTTTTGGTGGAAAGGATTTTGGAGGTAATTTCCGGCAACTAGCTACTATAGTAGCTATATATGTGTGTGTGTGTATAGTCTCTGGGGTCTCTGGTGCGAAACCGCTGTGCAGCCTACCTGGCCTACCCTCTGGAGCCGCCCCTGTGACCATCACAAAAATTCAAAGACAGGCACTTGAAAAAGTTGGTCTTATCTGCCATGCTTTCAGCATGGGGCATTGTACGTACCCACGTACCGCGCTTTTGATTAACTAAAAATAATGGCTAACGAATGACGAAACCAAGGTCATCTGGTTAAAGACGTTATTAGAGTGTTT